GGTGATGAACCTTCGGGTTCTGTAAGCCATCTGTTTGGTTGGGTCCACTATTTGGGAAGCCTGAGGGGAAGAGACCTCTGGGGAGACCTAGACGTAGATGGGAGGATAATCTCAGGCGGGATCTATGGGAGATAGGAGTTGAAGGAAACTGGATTTTGTTGGCCCAGGACAGGGTCCGGTGGAGGGCTTTGGTTAATTCGGTGATGAACCTTCGGGTTCGGTAAGCCATCTAGTTAGTTAGTTAGCTTAAATCTACCAGAAATTCAGAGCATATCAACAAAGCAGCATCAATCAAAACCTTAAAACATGGAAGTCTGTTTTATGACCATTTTATCGTGTATTCCGCTATACCCGATAAATGGGAAAACGCGCTGAGGCAAATTAGTTATGAAAACAAAGCGATGATTATGAAGAATCTTTAAGTGAACATCGATCGAATCTGTAGCGGTAAAAATATGGCCTTTGGCTGTTATAAGGCTGGAAACCACTAAAGTACGCCATACCAGACTTCAATTATGTAAGGAAACTATTAAAGCTGGCTTCAGCTCATGTGCTCTTCATTTCAGAATATTTCTGAAACACTATTTGAGCGTTATGCCATGTTAGGGGATACAGTATGCCACACGTAGCGGTCGAGCAATTAGCTCTCCTGCTTCGTATTCCGGAAACCATGTGATCCGATGTAGGATATGGGATACACTAACGAGGTCTTATTTTCCTCAGTTCCTCCAAGAAAATTATAGGGCAGTAGACTAGATTAAAGTAAGCCATAATCGCTTACCTTCACATTCATCGTTAATACAATTATCACATTATTCGACGCTACGTGACCTAAGCTGTTTAAAAAGCGTCGTTAAGAAACCGAAAACCCAATAAATAAGACAGGCTTGCGGAATTTAGGAAATTGTTTTTTAATGTAATGGAAAAAAGGATAGTCAAGGAAACCGTGTACCCATGGTTGCTTTTAAATTTACATTATCCACGCTTAAACGTCACTCTGAAGTCACTTCTTGGCATGTGCTACACAATCTCCCGGATATGACTTCAAATTTTAATCACGCCTCAGAACTCTATTAAAGAAAAGAGGATATGAATGTCCTAACTCATTCCCTGACGAAATTGCAGTTGGAGTCATAAAAGGCGCCTCTCAAAATAGTCTTGCAGTGAGCGGTGTGACCTGACATAGAGACCAGTGCGAGTTAATGGGAGGAAAAGCCGCAAGTAGAACTCCAGCACGTAATAATAATGAGCGTCCAGTGGGAGCGATTGTCAAGAACAGGGCGTGGACGGTCAGTCTGAGAACCACGTAAACCAATGCAGAAACAGAATGTAAATTACGTCTGGTATACGAATCGAATTCATCCCCAACAGATAACTATACAACTTGTAATATTAAGATACATCTACTGTACACCATAAAATCACAGGTGCCCCTGCTTATTTCTTGAAACGATGCCATACGCGGTATAGAACGTACAAAGCCTTCTACTATCGGAAGCTGTGGTGACAACATATGTTAAAATACACACACAAGCATATATATGGATAAAGTCAATGACAGTGACTGTGTGTCATACATAACTATTTTCTTAGTGATGATGCTAGACGGCAGAATTTTCTATTTTGTAAGTGCTGCTATCATCAGGCAGCTTTCAGATGTACTTTTACAATGGGTGACGAAAATATTCCTGCTAAAATTTTTGTGTTTAATACGTTGAAAGGCGTGGGAAAGTAATATGTAAGAAAAGAGAGGAAAATACGAAAAATAATTTAAAGAATTTTTTGGGTAACATATGAAAATACGAAAGAAGTCATTCTCCATAGAATTTCAAGGGGCCTTTTCCACTAGTAAAATTTAATAAATTGCATGAGTGTCATAGTCAGCTGATCTACGTTACGGACAACTGAGAATTCTGAATTCATATCAGTAACAGCAGTACTGTGGCAGGAAGTGAAGATACGTAAGCATATGCAGTTTCAACCTCTAATCCCGTGTCTTCTTGTCACAATACGTTTTACTTTGGGCAATGCATAACTACTTCACCCCCTGGCTTTCAAAAGGGGAGGGGGTCTTCCCCTCCGACCTTTCTAACGTTGTTCCGCTACGATATACGAACGACGGTCGACCTGAGAAAACCGCCAACAAACGAGCGCAGACAGTTCCGGCGTGTTGTATTGAAATATGTAGTTTGCCTAAGCCAACTATACAGAATGTCCTAAAAGATATATACACGCATTCAATGGACGAAATAAAGATATTTTAATACTTAACTAAATCATTCCATACGTCAGAATTGGCACTTTAATTAAGTAATCTAGTGTACGTGTTCAAAATGTCCACCATCCATGTCTTTCGTAAAAGAAGACACGGGGACCGATAACAAGGTTAGTATTTCGTACTGTAGGTGTATACATATTTTTGGGATTTCCTGTACATTCCGGGACAACGGTGATGCTACTTCACAGCAACAATTAGGAACGAAAAACTCGTGGCCCACACCTTCCATTCGCATTCGTAAAACAGGACGTAGACAAAGACGCGATACTGGCCCATCGTTTAGTCTTTCCTGCACAAGTCTTGAACCCTTGAAGCCAAAGAGAATCTAAATAATATTTAAATGTTCGGTCCGTACCACAAAGATCAACCGGTTAATGCTGTATTGCACTGAGAATCATACGAAACCCACAAATACTAAAAGAGTTTTCGAAAACTGAAGCAGGTGGGGCGTACAGTTACCACTGGGTTTCAAAGGGTTAGTTGAAGTTATGATTTCTTCAGTAAATCCGATTTTATTAAATACTTATACTGAAAAGATACTGTGGCAGAACTTTTCCGAAGAAAGGGTGTAACATTTATTCTGTTATAAATCATATAAAATCTAAAACTATCATTCTCTGAAAAATCGTACTCATAAATCAAAACAATTCATTCTTGGCCTTCCTACAATAATAATTTGAAGCAATTCTATTATCCCGTCAAATGCACTATTTTCATTATTTCCCCGACATTTAATGTGGTTTGGATCTGCTGGAAGGGGCAGTTTCGGTCTTCCTTTAACCTGGAATGTTTTATAAAATGAAGGAGCCCGGAGAAAGTGAAAAGCCTTGACAGAGCAAACGAGTTGCTCCACATTACGGCGCAAGGTTTATGAGTTGTCTTCAACAACGGACGTCATCGAACCACCAGTCACCATCCTGGGCCAAAACTTTCCGTATCAGTCACGTGATCTTCGCCACTAGAAGCCCTGTTCAATTAGTTTAGCCCAGAGCTTCGACCCGTTTGATTTGTCCGTATTTATGGGGACAGTTCTTTGTATGTTCTTAATTAAATGGCTACGTATTACTCAGCAGCTAATGGAATCAATTAACAACTGCTGGAGTTGGTCTCCTGGGCTCTAACGCCATGTGGACTAGCAGGTAGGAACCATCCTTACGGAGAAACATACCGTCTTCATCTTCAGCCCTGAAAATGGCGTCATAATCCAGAATATCAACACTGACGTTTTATCTCCGTGAGAAGGTTTGAAGTAAAGTTTTAATGTATGCTTATTGATGCTCCTTGAACTTACATAAAATTCAAGTTTTCAAAATGTTCTTTATAATAAATATTTCAATAGTTAAATGAAATGACGATTATTAGAAATACGTTGTTGAAGATAAAATGGAAATGTGTCAAGAGAAGAGAAGACATTATCAGACAAAATCTGCTTATGCAAAACATTTCAGTGATTGAATGCAGCATTTGAACGTGACGCATAGCGCGCGCACAATTGACAGAGGACTGTTCCTTGTTTTGATTAGTGAGCTTTATGAAGTCATACAATATATTATATTATATAGTATTCATCTTTGTGAACAAAGGAATGCATAATGGGGAATGATCTCTCTTTGTCTGCCTTTTTCATATCCCAAACTGTTCTACGGATGTCCACTACTAGTACATTTGATATTGGGATACGAAATATGCAGTAGAATTTGAATAGTTAATTTAACTTCGGGACTTTCGACCCACTACATTTCCTTCTGAACTTCATAAAATATTCGCAAATAAATGAATACATATCAAAATATAGTCTACATCCTAGTCATATTTGTATTGTTTCTGTGGAAAAATTTTCAGTGCTACGCTTACTGCAATATGACATATTTACGGCTTTCTGTACACTCACTAATCAAGAAGACGTAACAGTTGAAGCAAAGCCTCAAACATTTTAACCTCTGCACTAGTTGGCGTTTGCTATCAGCTTCATGCTCCGGCCGCATTATCCCTAGGAACAAAGCCCCTCCAACCCACCGAATGCCAGGATAAATACATTTTCGCCTGGACGAGTTGGCAAAGAGAAAGATGTCTAGCTTTCTCTCTCTTTACTTTTATGAAATGTTGCTACGATAACCACGCTTTCGGCCTCACCTTGCATCTGCACGCTTCTCTTGGCAGAGGCTACCGGGGCTGAAGAAGTCGCGGTGGCTGCAAGGCCCACACAGATCAACACACGACACCACATGTTGCTGCTGCGTTCTCACCCAACCCACGTGGTCATGTGTTCATGTTACCCGCATTGAAATCATACTGAACTCACTTTCAATTCACATTTTAACTACATCCCAGCATAAATCAACACTCGGGAGAGATTCTATTTACAGTACAATCCATATATAAACACATACGCACAAACACGCAGCTGCAATAAAGTTTTGTAAAGTGGCAAGTTGCTTTTCAATCTTCGTTACTGAACACACATCATTACAGTACCTGCAACTGCAAACTACACGGTGGCGCCAAGCACCACCAACTGTCCGCTGAGCCTTTTTATCGAGCTACAATTAACGAAAGTTTTACTGTAAGAGTCGGTGTCCCATTGGGACTAACGAGGCGTATAAACACACACACACACCCACCTTTGCATGAGCACGGCTCAGCTCTGCGGTACTTCCTATCAAATCATACCATAAACAGCAACTGAATGAAACAACAGGGCAAAGCGCTAAGTCGGCTCCGAAGTCCGGCTTTGCGCATGCCCAAGTACCTGCGTAGTGACAGGAATAAGAACAGTTAGCTAAGTTAGACTAAGTCTAAGTGATTATTTTTATTTAATAAATAGTTTGAGAATTAAGACTAAGTTCTCGAAATATTTCTTAGGATTCACTTCGAGGTTTTATCATCCCATCTACTTTACGCAAGTCTGAGGATAAAGATATAAAAGCGAGTAATTCTGCCACTTGTTTTGCATGGGTGAAATGACAGGGTCTTAATTTGAGGACGAGGATTAAATACGTACGCCTGAAAACAAAGTGTTAAGAAAAATACCTGGACTTAAAGACGCACAGAGGGTGACTTTCGAAATCATGCCAACGTAACGAGAAACTTCGAGATTTATGGAGATCATCTAGAAAAAGTTATAGTCATAGTGATATGTAGGGGGGATGCGATGGAATCGACTTGAGGAACTCATACAGAATTCTGGTGGGGACAACTCTTGGAAAACGTCTAACTCGAAGACCAAAAACAGGATGGAAAGATAGCATTAAGACGAGTCATACGATGGGTTATATGGTTAATGGGTTGGCTATAACAGGCTCAAGGTGAGCAATGTTGGAATTTCAATTCTAAAGGGTTTTGACGACGGTAGTTTACACTTAAAATTATTCATTGTCAGGACTTTTTCCATCGTCTGTTCTTTAAAACCACGACCTCTCACCTGAAGACGGAGTCAGAACCAGCCTCCGAAACGTCGTGGTTTTAAAGAACAGACGATGGAGAAAGTCCTGACAATGAATAATTTTAAGTTGGGATTTGTGTTGAACATTCGGGTTACGCTCTCACAGTACAATGAGCTGCCTACCGTTGGTTTTTCTCCTATGCCACGTAGAATCTGTTTCCTACTGCTGACGAATCGCTCGTTGCCTACAAATAACCAGCATTCAAGAGGAGTGTCATAAAGAACATGTTTAATGAAGGATGTTAATACGGAGAAACTGTCGCCGAACATTTCTTCGGAAACATCCAGGTTTAAAGAACAGGTCTAAATTGTATAAAACAGCGGGAAAGAACTTAAGACCGTGCATAGCTCAGGCGGTTAGACGCCGGCGTCCCAGCTCGGAGGCCCAGATTCACGCCCAGGTCAGTTCATGCAGGATGTGTGACTGTCAAAGCGCCATTGTGGCAGGTTTCTCCGAATCCTTCGGTTTTCCTCTGCCAAAATCATTCCACCGCTGCTCCATATTCATTCATAAGAAATTAATAAATTATGACAATAGCGTCGCGGGTAGCAGAATTAATTAATAAAGCGATAAATAAGAAATTAAAAGATCACGTTGGAAAGGATATCTTGACAGAATTCCAGGAACTATTTAAAAGTATCGATTGAAAGTAAGATGTCCATGTTAAATTATGGGTGGAGACAGATGATAAACATACCTAGAAATTATATATAAAACGTCTTTCACATAATAAGAATTGCAATTATGGTGACAGTGCGAAAGAATGAGGGTTATATCGGGTAAATTTAGCGTGAATAGAATCTGTGCTACCGAACATATTACAAATAAATAGAATATTAAACTGTACAATTATTAATTTATTCTTCTTATCAGCTTCTTAAAACCTACTGAGGCATTTGAAAAGCAGTAGGTGTTACAAGCTGTCCCTAAAACTCGTTTATTAAAATAGATTTAAACTTAAACAGATATAATAGAATTAACAAACAGTAACGATGCGTTGTTTTCAGCAGGTGCTCCTATAATTCAGAACACTGTATTTCCATTTATTATTATTTAAACCGACGTTATGTGGCCTGAGCTACTGACAGCATCGTTAAGTAAAACACAAAATACACAGTAAACTCAACGCCATAGAAATCTCAGATCCTGCATAAATTGTATTTACTCTTACAAGGCGCTACAAAAGTCGAAGTTCCACAAAGGCCGCATTGGACGAGCTTATCATTAAGGGTCGCATGTAGCGTTGATGCCCAGATTTGTGTGTACACTCAACGT